GGAGAAATTTTAAAAGGTGTTGGGGCAAAAAAATAGAAGTAGGAGAAAAGGAAAAGATGAGAAGAACGGGTAGAGGACAAAGGAAGTTACTGAAACTTCAAGAAACTAGTGGAGACAAGAGGGAAAGAGATAAGAAAGAAATAAGAACAACAGAACAACAGCAAAAAAACTAGAAACGGTGTTCACACTCTTAAAAACAAGAACAATCATAAAAACAGAAAACAAAAGGAAGGCTGGATGTGGCGGTGGAAGGCTGAGGCAGTAGAATCACTGTGAGTTCAAAGCCAGCCGGAACTATACAGTGTTTTTGGTTTTTTGTTTCTGTTTTTTTTTTTTGAGACAGGGTCTTGCTGTGCAGTTTCGGCTGGCTTTGAGCTCACTTTGTAGCCCAGGCTGGTCTTGAACTCCTAACGATCTTCCTTCCTCTACCTCCTGAGTGCTGGGATTACAGGTGTTCGCCACCATGCCCGGCTTTTTTTTTGTTGTTTTTTTGAACTATATAGTGAAACTCTGTCTCCAAAAAAAAAAAAAGAAATGGAAACAAGAAAAGAAAAAAAAAGAAGGAAAAAAATGTGTACTTCAGGGCATGTCTCTGCTGTCACTGGTAGAGTGCGCAGATGGAGCGCAGATCTGAATTGATTCATCCCAGCTAGCAGGCCCTAAGTTTAAGTTGGGGTGGGGGATAATCCCAGCAAATTTGGACCTTTAGTTCCACTGAAGTTTGGGCCAGTTTCTGGCTGTGAGACTGAAACCAATTTGTTTAGCCAGGGCCGAGGATGAAACTCAGTGCCTTAGACTCCTGCCTGACAAGCACAAGGTCCTGAGTTGTTTTTTTTGTTTTTTTTTTTTTTTTTCTTTTAAGGTCCTGAGTTTGATTCCTGGTACAGAAACAAAACAAAACAAAACCCAGTTTGTTCAGTCTGCAACACTTCTGCTGGTTTGAACTTGGCTCTCTGCCAGTTTCAATTCAGCTCCTAGACCTCCTGTCCTCTGGAGTTTGGTTCTGCCTCACCCTACTACTAGCAGCCAGTAGATGGAGCCAGCCTGCAGTGACTCTGAGTTCTGAGCTCATTTGACCAGTTGCTTTCTCTTAGGGGACGTCTGAGTCTGAATAACACAGCAGCCGCTACAGTCCGCTGCATCCACTGCTCTGTTGCACTGGTGTCGTTGGCCTCTGGGGCCACCAGTAGTCAGTGTGTCTGCGGATTTGAGTCACTCCTCCCATGTGGCTCAGGGAAGAAGCACTGCTTGCCACCTCCTCCTTCTACGTTGAGAACTTTCTCTTCACTTTCCCCTGGGCTTCAATTGTTGCTTGAGAGCCTTGCTGGGTCCTAGGGACCCACTTCCCTCCTCCTTTTTTTCCTCACATTTCTGTATTTCAACGTCTGGGCACCAAATCTTGGAGAGGTTGTGCTTCTGCTGTTCATCACTGCCATCCTCCCAGAAGTCCAAATTTTTATTTTTCTATTTTTATTTTTTAGTGCTTTACCACTTAGAAATCTTTCACGTACATTCTCATTTGACCCTCTCAACAACCCTGTGAGGTAGGCAGCACAGATGTGCTTCTCAGTTAACAGAAGAGGAATGTAAATCTCAGAGTGGTTAACGTACCCTAAGTTCTACAGTTAGTAAATAGTATGTATTAGTACCAGTCTTCGGCCTAAAAATTCAGTACTCAGCCTCCCCTCATACATTCCCACCTACTTCACAGGGATAAGGAAGATAAAATGAATTCAAAGCTAGAAGAA